TATTAGGTACGACATTCTAGAAAACCTTTTATGACACACATCACATTCATGTAGCTTTTCTTCTGAATGAATAGCTTTATGCAGATTTCGGTTACCCTTGGTGGTAAACTTTTTATGACAAACATCACACTCATATAACTTTCGTGCTGAATGAATTGCTTTATGTTTTATTAGAGTATAACTGGTAGTAAACTTTTTATGGCACATATCACATTCATGTACACTCTCTCCTGAATGAATTGCTTTATGGTGATTTAGATGACTCTTTGAAACAAATTTTTTATGACATACTTCACACTCTTGTAACTTTTCAGTGGAATGAATTAATTTATGTAGCTTTAGGTAGGACTTTCGATAAAACTTTTTACAACATACATCACATTCATGTAGCCTCTCTACTGAATGAATAGCTACATGTTGATTTAGGTAAGTCCTTTTTGCAAATTTTTTATGACATACATCACACTCATGAGACTTTTCTGCTGAATGAATTGCTCTGTGTTCCATTAGGTAAGACTTTCTAGAAAACCTTTTATGACACACATCACATTCATGTAGCTTTTCTTCTGAGTGAACTGTTTTATGTAGATTTCGGTTACCCTTGGTGGTAAACTTTTTATGACAGACATCACACTCATATAACTTTCGTGCTGAGTGAATTGCTTTATGATGATTTAGACGACTCTTTGAAACATATTTTTTATGACATACATCACACTCTTGTAAACTTTCAGTGGAATGAATTAATTTATGTAGCTTTAGGTAGGACTTTCGAGAAAACTTTTTACAACACACATCACATTCATGTAGCCCCTTACCTGAATGAATTGCTTTGTGTTTATTTAGATTCCTCTTTGAAGCAAATTTTTTATGACATACATCACACTCATGAGACTTTTCTGTTGAATGAATTGATATGTGTTCCATTAAGTACGCCTTTCTAGAAAACCTTTTATGACACATATCACATTCATATAGCCTCTCTTCTGAATGAATAGCTTTATGGTGATTTAGGTTAGTCCTTGTTGCAAATTTTTTATTACATACATCACACTCATGTTCCTTTTCCGTTGAATGAATTGCTCTGTGTTCCATTAGGTAAGACTTTCTAGAAAACTTTTTATGACACACATCATATTCATGAAGCTTTTCTTCTGAATGAATTGCTGTATGTTTATTTAGATTCCTCTTTGAAGCAAATTTCTTATGACATACATCACACTTTTGTGACTTTTCCACTGAATGTATAGCTATATGTTGATTGAGATTACCTCTTGTAGTAAATTTTTTATGACAGACTTCACATTCTTCTAACCTTTCTCCTAAATGAATTGCTATATGTTGTTTTAGATATGTCCTAGTAGCAAACTTTTTATTACACATATTAAAGTCATGTGACTTATCTGCTGAGTGATTAGCTTTATGTTTATTTAGGTTATTTCTTCTAGTAAACTTTATATGACAAACATCACACTCATGCAACCTCTGTCCTGAATGAATTGCTTTATGTTGATTTAAATTCCTCTTTGAACCTAACATTTTATGGTTCACGTCACTCTTTTGTGCTCTCACTATTTGATGAAATTGTCCATTTTGGTTGAGTTTACTAGTTAAGGGAAACCTTTGATTACACAGATAACATCCACATAGCCTCTCTCCTGAATGAATAGATTTATGTTGATTTCGTTTACTTCTTGTAGCAAAGTTTTTATGAAACACATTACACTCATATAACCTCACATCTGTGTGTGATTCTTTACATTTTACTAGAAGAGTTTTATGCTTTGAAGATTTTAAGTTTTTCGTCTTACACTTCTTTAATAATTCAACCTGATTTGATATTGGATTTTCTGTGTTGTTTATCAGAATATTCTTAAGCTCTGATAAATCAGTTGATGTCTCTGTCTTTATATGAGAAATATTGTCAGTTAGAGTTGTCTCTAGTGATAGGTTTAAACCTGTATTTAAACCATCAGATTTTATATCTTCAAAAACTGAAAATAAATCAAGTCTATCTGGTTTATTGTCTACATGTGTTGTAAATTCTGATAATAAATTCTGATTTTTGTTTTCACATGTTGACAATACATTTGCTTTTTTGTCATCAGTTTCTGTAAACTCCTCTTGTTTTATGTATTCAGCTGGAATTATATTCAAAATTTCTGGCTGGTTGTCCACATATATTTCTTGCTTGATCCCTAAAACACTTGGTAATACTTCTTCACCAGCATCTCTTTTTTTTCTATTCTTTAGCTCCATAACTAAGAAATAAATAAATAATTAAAAAAAAAATATTTGAAAATAATATTTCCAGAAATAATCAAGAAACATAAATAAAAATGTTCTTCAAAAACATGAATGCTGGTTTATGCAGCTACACATATTCTTTTCACAATAAGTAAGCCTAACATAACACCTATGTCAAACACCATTACAATTGATGCTTTTCCATTTCAGAAAGGGGAAGGAGCCTAGTCATTTAGAGGGATAAGACAAAAAAACAAGCCTACTTTAGTTTTGCATAGCATTTTTAAAAACCAATGAGTAGACCTATCTTATATCTGAAATATGTATAGTCTTACATTTAAAGAGAAAGTGAGGCTAAAAGGCAACAGTTTAAACAAAATTTATTATTGAATATTAATTAGTCATAATAATTGTACTGTAATTAAAATTTCAATTTAAACTAGATCTATATGACGAGACCTTTATTAAATTATTTAGATTATCTTCAGCTACCTATATTACTTATGCCATGTTATTACTACATAGTGCTGTATTGTGGTACTACAACACTACATAGCAGATATATTAGTATGCACTGCAAATAACTTAAATTTGATAAAAATGTAACTAACAATAATAATGAAGGTTTTCAAAACTGTTATTTTTTTTCTGAATATTTTATGGAGATTCTAAATGGTGGCAAATGTGTTACTGTAATGTAAAATGCTAAGGATCTACCTGTGTAATAAAAAATCCATTATGGAATCCACTTTCTTAAAAAAAGGGTTTTAAGTTTGGCCGATGCTAGCCGGAATAAGATACGCATGCGCAATGGAGAGAAACTACGACTTGCCTTCGCGGCGATGTTTACGATGGTACTGCGCATGCGTGTGTTTACAACCGCAGAACCCTAACACCAACCCTAACCCTATCCGTAACCCTATCCCTAACCCTAATCCTATCCCTAACCCTAATCCTATCACTAACCCTATCCCTAACCCCAATCCTACCCCTAACCCTAACCATAGGTCATAACCATAGCCCTAACCCTAGCCATAGGTCACTGCGCATGCGCAGAGCTATCTCTTGCCGACTAAGTGGAGACGTTGGGGAGAAAAATCTTCTTCCGAGTAGTCACTTCGTTTAAGTTAATCATTGACTGACAGTTATTCTTATGATCTTATCCTTAATCTGAAACCTAATCTGTGGTTATCTATAAGAAAAGTTGGTAATCTATTGTTTAGGTATGCAAAATCGCCCGCGGCTAGTAATGTACGATAAAGTTACCTCATTGTCAAGGCTTTAATAGAAGTATATTGTGATATATTTGTGTCAAATATTATATATATATATATTATATATAAATGAATAATAAACCTAAATCAATGGCTAAATATATCAATATAGGCAAGAATTTAATTTTAAACAGCAGTGTTTGCGAGCAGGATTTGCTATATAAAAAGCGGCCATCTTTACGTTAGACTGGCTTCCCCCAAATATCGCGTTATAAGTTTACAATAAAAAAAAATGACCAAGATGGCTGCTATAGTAAATGAGCATGGTTGCATCTGTTGGAAACATCTCTAGTCTTCATTTATTACTGAATAAGTTTTAATTCAATTGTTTAAAAACAGGTACATAATTGAAACAAGGAAACATTTTTCTATATTTCAAAACATAAATCATCCTCAAAATGTGAAATAATTATTAAAATTTAAGGAGTCACCTGTTTTTCACATTACTAGTCGCGGGCGATTTTATGTACCTAAAACGATAGATTACCGAAAAGTCCTATCATTGCCATACATACAGTTCCTAAGCACTAAGGCGCCTGGCCTGAGGCAATGTGCCATGCATCATAGCTCTATAAAACTATACTAGATCTATAGACTATATATTATATTAATTATTATATAATAACACTTAATACATAACGAAACACGCTGAACTGGAGGTAAATGACAAGCGGAGAATAAAATATGCTAAAATGGAGTTTCTCACCCCCACCACACTATCACACATTACAAAAAGTCAGACTATTAGACCTAGTTTCTGTTTCATTTCTGAAAAGGTAAAAATCTAGATCTTACTTACTTAATAATAACTAATAACCATTATAAATTTATTAACCATGCTTGTATAACTTTAATTGAAATTGTAGCGGGGAAAAAACAATTTTAACAACGTCGACTGCTGGGTTTTCCTTGGCAGAAAATCATGGCTAGATCTAGATCTATCTACACCCTAGTGAAGTGAAAATTTTAGCTACTAGATCTATCTAGATCTAGGCCTCCCTAATAGAATGTGGTAGATTTTCTAGAGAAAACAAAATAAAAAAAAAAAACCCCTAGGCTAAAAAATTGGAGTTAAAGTAAGACAAAGTTTCAGTAATAAATGTAGGGTAATCCCTTAGTTTAGCGTCGGTTATTATTCCGGAATGGCTTAGCAGTAAAAAATGTAAACAATGGCATACACCATACAGTATGCTACACCGTTCCAAAATGCAAACCGGAAATGCTATCCTTTATTTATACCGGAAACGCCGTAAGCCTTAGTTTATTCGGCGCTCTCTTGTTTGAATATTTTATATTAAGAACTGTCTTTTTTTTAAACAGAGCGTTGTAAACCATTTTTCCTGGTGTAATTATCTGTTTAAATAACTTTATTTGATATGTTATGTTAAGTATTAACCTGTATATTCTCTATTGCAATTATTTATTGTGTATTGTTAGTATTTAATTTAGTTTTATTGCAATTTTTTTATAATTTGAATCATGGCCGGCAGACCAAAAGCGGCACTTTCAATTGTACCGGCAAATGAGGTGATGCCTTTGTGCAACATTCGCACTGAAGTTTGGCGTCTGCAAACTCTCTGCCAACATTTGCAAACGCCTGACTCTGCGTTGCAGTGGTGTGCTCGGCGCAGATTAGTACAGAATTCTGTTCTGTGCGTACACTGCAATCAGCCTTGCAGTTTAAATAGGTACCAACAGGGTAGTGATGGCAGACGCTGGTCGTGCGATGGTTGCAACTATCGCAGGTCTGTAAGAGAGCATTCATTTTTTGCGCGCAGCCATCTGTCCATCCAGAAAATTGTCATAATTATTTACTGTTGGGCACATGACATGCCGCAAAAGCAAATACTACATGAAGCTGATGTTGCGGAAAATTCAGTGGTCGACTGGTGCAAGTTCATGAGAGAGGAGTGCAGCAACTGGATGCAGCGGAATGGCACACAAGTCGGCGGCTTGGATGACCACGGTGAGCCTATTGTGGTGGAAATCGACGAGTCGAAATATTTCCACCGGAAATATCACCGTGGACAGTGGCGAGAGGGTCACTGGGTCTTTGGTGGGATTGAGAGGGACAGTGGCAGGTGTTTTCTGACTGTGGTGCAGGACAGGTCGGCAGCCACGCTTCAGGCTTGCATTCTGCAGCACATCTTGCCTGGCACCCATATAATATCGGATGGCTGGGCTGCATACGCCAACATTTCCCAGTTAGGACAGGGAATTTTTGAGCATTCTGTTGTTGTCCATGAAGAACATTTCGTGGACCCAGAGGACTCAGAAATTCATACTCAAAACATTGAGAACATGTAGATGCGGGCGAAGCGAAAGTTGAAAAGGCAGTTTGGCACCAGTCGACCCTTATTTCCGTCCTATCTTCAGGAATTTGCTTTTCGTAATCAATTTCGACAAACAGACATGTTCACAAGTTTTCTAGTCGCCCTGACAGAAAATTACGCTTGAACTTTGTGCTGCTCGTTGATTTTTTTTTTTTTTTGCCTAACACTTGCTTGCTCATGTATTTTTTAATTGCTGCTCTTTGCTTTTCACTAAAATGGCTTATGTGCCATTTATGCCTCATTTTCTTGACGGTTTTTGCCTTGTGCATGTTTGCTTATGTGATATTTGTGCATGCTTTTATATTTTTCTAATGCCGCATGCATTTTTCTTGTACCTCACTTTTTGATTGGTATTTTAATGCATATTTTTGTAATGCACAATTTATTTTGCATGACCTTCGATATTTTTATACAGTGCTATACTCATCCATTTTTTATATATTTATTTGTATAAGTTTGGGTGAAGGGGTGGGTGGGGGAAGGGGTGGGGGGTGGGGTTGGGGTATTCATCTGTCTTCCCACCTTAACAATACATGTAAGGTGTGGGGGATAGATGAATATCCATCTATCCTCCCCCGCACTCCCACCATCGGTGGGGGGAGTATCCATCTATTTTTCATCCATTCTCCCACCTAGACACCCCGCCATGGGTGGTTAGTGAGTGTATTAGTATATTTCTCATCCACTATCCACCCTCTCCCACCTCAGCCTTACCCACCCCTATCTCCCTAACTCCCTCCCTAAAATGATGGATGGTTAGATGGATAGATGGTTGTATTGATATATAGATGTGTGAATGGATGGTTGTATTGATATATAGATGTATGAATGGATAGGTGAATGGATGGATGGTTGTATTGATAGATGTGTGAATTGATTAATGAATGGTTTAATGAATAGACAGAACTAAGATAGATGTATGAATGGGTGGTTATATGGATAGATAAGTGTATGGATTGTTTTATCGTTGAGTGTATGGTACATGGAGTCATTTTTATTGCTTATGAATTTTATTTTAGCGTTTTTAGTTTACCAATCTTTCTTCTAGTCATTACTAAAAAATTATAGCTCAAACTCTATTTTTTTCCCCTTTTAATAATGTTTTGCTAACTTTATTTTGGCTAAATCAATTTTTTTCTAATTATAATTCTAGTCATTTTTACTAGATCTAGTTCATTTCTATTTTTGTAATTTTCTTCTGGTTTTTAATGTTGAATAAACTTTTAAAAAAAAACTACATTTGATGACTTAGTTATTTATTTATTTACTAGATCTAGAGTAGAATCGATTTTGTGAATGTTGATAGTTTTCTGGAAGCTTTTATTTCTAAAAAAGAACAATTACTACACTTGACTAAATCTATATTATTTATATTTATTTACTAAATCTATTTCTTCTTTATTTCTGTTCTTAAATAAATTAGTAGGCCTACACTAAATAAATTAGTACACTTGACTTTATTTATATTTCAACGGTCAAATAAAATATGGTTTACGGTAAGTAATGTTTACGAAACTCAACGAAAACCACCGGATAATTTCCGACGCTAAACTAAGGGATTACCAAATGTAGCTGCCATCTTTTTTAATAACTATCGTATTACATATTTAGAGTGGTCTCCCCTATTAAAAAAAAAAGATTCCTATATAAATTATAAATAGGCCTATATAATAACGAGAAAAATGGACGGTTAAGGAAGGATACAACGGGCGCTAGGTTGATAGTGCTGTCTAATTTCTCTAAACTATAACCAAAACAAAATCAACACCTCAATTTAATTTAACCGGAAACGAAAAATGACGTTGAAAACGGATTTTTATCCAGAATCGGTACTTTAATTTATACAAAATAAAGTCATAGGCATATCCCTAAACCATGCACCTAATCTCATTCATGACAAAAGTTGCATTTAGAGTTTCTTTCAGGCAACTCTACTTGGGAGGAGGGGGCTCCGCCCCCCCCCCCCCACACACACACCCCAAAACATGTCTACCGTCCCATTCAACGAAATATAGTTATATACTTTTTTCCAGTGTCCACCCCCTCCCAGAAAAATTCAACCCCCCCCCCCCCAAAAAAAATAATTCAAGTAACCCCACCCCTCTCCGGGGAGGAAAAAGTCTGAAAGAAACACTGGTCGCATTTGTAGATCATACAAACTAAAGGAAGAACCTGGGCAGGGCTTTGCTCCTACCGGAAGAGATGCATGAAAAAAACTGTGCACGTTAAACACTTTTTAGATTAGAAAAAGTTCCCTCCTCCGGGGAGGAAAAAGTCTGAATGAAACACTGGTGTCGTGCTTAGCCACTACCCGAAGTAGTGCATTATAGAGTATCGATGACGACATTTCTTTTGAGTTGGGGGGGGGGGGGCGGGTTAGACGTTCTTTCTCGAGGGTGGGGCTTCGCCCCTACCCGAAGAATTGTATGAAAGAAACTCTTCACGCAAACCACTTAGATTAGACAAAATTGGCTTTTTAATTCAATGTTTACACGAGATTCAATGACGTCATATTATTTTGTGCACTCTCCCGGCTGTCGACTTTTTTCTACTATATGCTGAATATGACGTCATATTTCGGTTCCGCTTTACTGTGAAAGTTTTTAATTTGCTTGTGTTTTCTCTAGAGCGTTCTTGTCAGATAGCTAGAGAGATACATAGACAGACAGCGAAACTATTATCTATATATATAAAGCAAAGTGGTCAAGTGCCCGACAGGGCACTTCCCGGCGCCGCAGGCGCGTCAAATTTGGCACGATGGTGCCTTGGGGCGATAGAACGCGAGGGCCGGTGACGGTTGGCAGAAAAGTCCACGGGGAGGGGGTCAGAACTGACCTCGACTGACCGGCGCCTTATATGGGCTATATTACGAAAAGAAATTTCCTCCGACGACCCCCCTTGAAATTTTGTGAGGTGCTAGAAGAACGCCTCGGGGTGTCACAAAAAACTCGCCATGTCCGGGAAAATTCGTTAAATGGGTCAAAACTGACCAGTCGTATTTCCCTATATAATCTTTGTATTTTATGGGAAAAACAGAGGGTGATTTCAAAACGGATTTGAGGGCACTTACCCTCTTAACATCTGGCTAATTTTTTGCATGCTCTTAGGTAAATGGCTTGACCTTTAGGGAAAACTGTCGGTTTCACTCAAAGCCCTCGACGAGGGCTAAAAAGTGACCGCGAGTGAAATTCGCTTTATATGAGCTCTATTACGAAAAAAAATTTCCTCCGACGACCCCCCTTGAAATTTTGTGAGGTGGTAGGAGAACGCCTTGGGGTGTCACAAAAAACTCGCCATGTCCGGGAAAATTCGTTAAATGGGTCAAAACTGACCAGTCGTATTTCCCTATATAATCTTTGTATTTTATGGGAAAAACAGAGGGTGATTTCAAAACGGATTTGAGGGCACTTACCTTCTTAACATCTGGCTAATTTTTTGCATGCTCTTAGGTAAATGGCTTGACCTTTAGAGAAAACTGTCGGTTTCACTCAAAGCCCTCGACGAGGGCTAAAAAGTGACCGCGAGTGAAATTCGCTTTATATGAGCTCTATTACGAAAAAAAATTTCCTCCGACGACCCCCCTTGAAATTTTGTGAGGTGGTAGGAGAATGCCTTGGGGTGTCACAAAAAACTCGCCATGTCCGTGAAAATTCGTTAAATGGGTCAAAACTGACCAGTCGTATTTCCCTATATAATCTTTGTATTTTATGGGGAAAACAGAGGGTGATTTCAAAACGGATTTGAGGGCACTTACCCTCTTAACATCTGGCTAATTTTTTGCATGCTCTTAGGTAAATGGCTTGACCTTTAGGGAAAACTGTTGGTTTCACTCAAAGCCCTCGACGAGGGCTAAAAAGTGACCGCGAGTGAAATTCTCTTTATATGAGCTCTATTACGAAAAAATTTTTCCTCCGACGACCCCCCTTGAAATTTTGTGAGGTGGTAGGAGAACGCCTTGGGGTGTCACAATAAACTCGCCATGTCCGGGAAAATTCGTTAAATGGGTCAAAACTGACCAGTCGTATTTCCCTATATAATCTTTGTATTTTATGGGAAAAACAGAGGGTGATTTCAAAACGGATTTGAAAGCACTTACCCTCTTTACATCTGGCTAATTTTTTTGCATGCTCTTAGGTAAATGGCTTGACCTTTAGGGAAAACTGTCGGTTTCACTCAAAGCCATCGACGAGGGCTAAAAAGTGACCGCGAGTGAAATTCTCTTTATATGAGCTCTATTACGAAAAAAAATTTCCTCCGACGACCCCCCTTGAAATTTTGTGAGGTGGTAGGAGAACGCCTCGGGGTGTCACAAAAAACTCGCCATGTCCGGGAAAATTCGTTAAATGGGTCAAAACTGACCAGTCGTATTTCCCTATATAATCTTTGTATTTTATGGGAAAAACAGAGGGTGATTTCAAAACGGATTTGAAAGCACTTACCCTCTTTACATCTGGCTAATTTTTTTGCATGCTCTTAGGTAAATGGCTTGACCTTTAGGGAAAACTGTCGGTTTCACTCAAAGCCATCGACGAGGGCTAAAAAGTGACCGCGAGTGAAATTCTCTTTATATGAGCTCTATTACGAAAAAAAATTTCCGACGACGACCCCCCTTGAAATTTTGTGAGGTGGTAGGAGAACGCCTCGGGGTGTCACAAAAAACTCGCCATGTCCGGGAAAATTCGTTAAATGGGTCAAAACTGACCAGTCGTATTTCCCTATATAATCTTTGTATTTTATGGGAAAAACAGAGGGTGATTTCAAAACGGATTTTAGGGCACTTACCCACTTTACATCTGGCTAAATTTTTGTATACACCTCTATAGATGACTACGCCGTATGGAAAAACTGTTGGTCTGACTTAAAGCCCTCTAAGAGGGCTAAAAATGACCGCGAGTGAAATTCTCATTATACGAGATTTGGTCATTTGGTCTATGAACAGGGGAGGTAACTTTTTAATGTAATAATTTTTAAATATTTTGTATACTCTTTTCAAAAAAAAACAAAACAAAAATCATAAAGTATAGCATTGTTTTAAATAAATATTTTGTTATAAATTAAGTTTTGCATTGTACTGAAATTGTAAAAATTAATTGCGAAAGTAATTTATTATAATATTTGATTGATACTATTAAGAAATCCCTTGCAGTTCTAATTACCATGCGAGTAATACGTTTGCGAATATTCCATCAATATTTCGATGACATGAAATTTAACTGTATAAATTTAGGCCCTAAGCATTTAACATAGCAGCCAATCACCTATTAATTAATCATTCAATTCCTCAATTTTTTTTGAAAACCTAAGCGAAGCTAGGCAGTATGCCTAGTTATAGATATAATAATATACAAGCATAACCAGTGCTTTTTCCAGACTTTTTTCTCGGGGGGGGGGGGGGGGGGAGACAGAGCGGACACTAGTAAATGTTTGCTATATAAATTCCATTTCGTTCAGGGGGGAGGGGGGAGTTGCCTGGAAGAAACTCTGAGCATAACAATCTTACACACACCTTTAACATTAACTTTGAAACATTAATTAATATTTTGATAATTAAAATAACGAGACTTCATTAATTCAGTTACATTGTGAATTTTTGTGATAAAATATATTTGTGGAAGGTAGTTTTATTAACAAAAACGTCACACATATCAAGTTCAACACATAGCAGTATTTCTTTCAGATTTTTATCTCGGGTGAGGCACTTGATATAATTCCGGGGGATGGGGCGGACACTGGTAAAAGCGTATATTTTTAATGTAAATTCCATTTCGTTCGGGAGGGGGGGGGGGGCGGGCGGACTTCTAATTAGGCCCTATTATTTAAATTTTCTTTTGTGTTGAAATATTTTAGTAAAAGTTTCTGAAACCCGAAAGTCTCTAGGTCAAATCTGATAAATCTGAGGCAGTGGCGTAGCCAGGATCGTCTCAAGGGGGAGGGGGGGGGTTCCAATTTTTACGCGGGAACAAGTTTTCGATTTGCACCCCCCCTCAGACTTTTGATTTGCACCTCCCTCATACTTTATATATATATACCGAGGGGTCTATGGGGGGGGGGGGTTATGACCCACCACCCCCCTGCCTACGCCACTGATCTGAGGGAGAACTGATGCATAGTAGGGAAAATAAAGTCAGCTAGGCATAGTGCTGGTCGCACTATCCGTTTTAATAGTATACTAGCCGTCCCGGCCAGGCCCTGCTCTGGCTTCTGTGAAAAACCTTTCTGTTAAAGCCCATTACCTGTGTGTTTAGCAATCATCATAAACCCGGCACTGCCCACCCAAACCACAACCAACCAAAACCAAAACAACAAAACGCAAACATAACTACAAATACAAACGAAAACAAAAACCTAACAACAAACCCAACCACAACCACCAATACGAACACAAAGAAAAAAAAAAAGCAAACGAAAACGAAAACGAAAACAAACCAAAGCCAAACGCAAAACCAACCACAAACACAAACCCAAAGAAAAAACACCAACGAAAAAGCAAACGAAAACAAACCAAATCCAAACGCAAAACCAACCACAAACACAAACAAAAAAAAAAACACAAACGAAAACGAAAAAAGAAAGAACAAAAAACTAACCAAATCAAAACGCAACCACTAACGCAAACCCAACCCAAAGAAAACACAAACGCGAACATAAACGCAAAGTGCTCACAGTCTAGCCCGGGGCAGAATCGCCTGTTTCAGCTTAATAAACGACTACAGTACCCCAACTTATTCATAGTCTTTTGCACTCACTTAAACGAACGTAGGTGCCAAACCAAACCAAATGAACAATTATAATACCCCAAGCTTATCCGTAAAATACCTACAACATTTGCACTTGATCAATCCCCCCTAATTATGTAATTATTTTTTCCCAACACCAAAACAAACTAATATTAACTATGAATTTGAAATTTCAGTTCGGGGGCCAGTTTTTTCCAGGCATGTCTTTGATTTTTCTGGCTAAGTTCCTCAGCAATCACCGACAAACGATTTTTCCTTCGACAAAACTTAAATTTTGTTAAATTTTATTTAATTTCATTATAAAAATTTCATTTTGAATACCTAAAATTCTTCTGATTTTAGTCGCGAAAAAGCGCCCTAGCTAGGCCTCTGGTTTTTGAACTTACTATAACATAAACAGCTGTCTACGTTTTGTCTTCTATGACATACTACTTTCAGAGAATAAATTGATAAAATCGCATCGCGGGTTTGATTCGATGGTTTATTTTTATGGACGATCTTTTACGTACCTCAAACATTTTTTCCCAATAATTATTGTTTGTCAATAACTCATGGTTATAAGATTGTGAATATCAAGTTTGCTGATATATATTTTACAGTAAAGAAGTATTAATTATTTATTTGGAATTTTAAAAATATTCAAATATTATTTTTAAAAGTTATATCAGTTACATCAACAGTATAATATTAAGGCTCACTCTCTCTCGCAGCGGCTGTCCCGAGCGCCATCACTAAGGTGGTGCCAAAAAAAATATTTAAAAGCTTATTTTAAGCTAAAGTATTGAATTATTATACACTGTCAAAGTGCTACCAAAGCAAAAGCTAGTGACTGGTAAAAATTCGAGACCAACCTTTTCAACTGGGTAAGGACGTTTTTTTCCACTAACATGAATAAATATAATATAAATGGGAGGTGGTCACAAAATTGATACTTCATGTCGGGTGCCTGATATGGGTCGCTACGCCTCTGCTCTCTTGCAGTACAAACAGATACAAAATTACCACCTTTTCAAGAAAAAAAACAATTAAACTTTATTATGTAAAAAATTTTGATTTTAATGAAGTTTTAACAAGATTATCAAAGGAAGTAGAAAACAAATGGTCTAGATTTAATAATTTAAATGAATTGCAAAAATGAAATCATGCTCAACAAGGATGATATTCATAACTATACACACAGATCATGCAAAAATTTCACTAATAATTTCACTAAAACTAATAGTAATAAAAGAAATTTTTTTCAAATGCACATTGTGAAGCACAAAAAAATTCAATTTTTTTGGACATAACTTAAGTAAACTTGCTAAGACACACACAGCAGTCTTTTTTTTAAAAAAAAAAAAATGTCAATTACAGTTTTCTCTAAGGAAAAGATTTCCTCTGCTTTAAAACATCAAATTTTATATTTTCAAATGGATAAAAAGCATTGTTTATCTGTTTTTTTGTGTGTTTTAATTTATTTCAAGTTTAAAGTCTCATAAGAAGTCAAGATTTGTGTTTACACATAAAGAAAATAAATTTGACCTCTCTTGTATAATTTGCTTGATAAAAGCTAACTTTATTATGAACTATGTTATACTCATGTTGTCTCTATTGCTTAGGGATCATCCATGTATGAAGTCAGCACGAGGGGTAGGGGGTGGGAAGAGACAAAAAATTGACTATGTCGGCATGTTAAGCTTAATGTTGAAGTAGTCGAAATATGTGTTGAACATTTTTAAGCAAACATAAAACAGGTAGGGTAACATGTAGTAATTCAATCAACACATGGGGTAATTCCACACCCACACAATGAATTGTCTTTTTTTGTGAATTAATTTACACAAATCTAAATAATTTCATATATATATATATATATATATATATATATATATATATATATATATATGTATATATGAAATATATATATATATATATGAAAGTGGATAACATTTTTGAGGACATCATAAAAGGTTGACCCCCTTGCAGCATTTAACAGTATAAAAATATAATTTAATCTATTTATGAATGAATTTGTTTACACATACTTTATTCGTAAATGTTTAATTTGACCTACTTCTGAATCAATTATTGATGGCATTTTAAAGTAATTATCAACAGAAACTTTCTATTACACAAATTACGCTCATGCAACCTCTGCCGTATAACTTGCTTTGTGTTGATAAAGATTAATCCTTGTAGCAAAACTTTTAATAACATAAATCACTCATGTGATTTAGTTTTTATATTAAGAAAACCCTTGATGACGCACATCACACTTATATGGTGCTTTTCCATAATAGCTTTATGTTGATTTTTGGAAAATCCTTGTAGCAAACTTTATATGACACAGATAACACTCATGTGACCTTTAGTGCTGAATGAATTGTTTTACTTTTATGTCGATTTAGGTTACCCTTGGTGGTAAACTTTTTATGACAAACATCACACTCATATAACTTTCGTGCTGAATGAATTGGTTTATGTCGATCTAGGTTACCCTTGGTGGTAAACTTTTTATGACAAACATCACACTCATATAACTTTCGTGCTGAATGAATTGCTTTATGATTAATTAGAGAAAAACTGGTAGTTAACTTTTTATGGCACACATCACATTCATGTAGCCTCTCTCCTGAATGAATAGCATTATGTTGATTTAGATGACTCTTTGAAACAAAGTTTTTATGACATACATCACACTCGTGTAACTTTTCAGTGGAATGAATTAATTTATGTTTCTTTAGATATGACTTTCTAGAAAACTTTTTACGACACACATCACATTCATGTAGCTTCTCTTCTGAATGAATAGTTTTATGTATATTTCGGTTACCCTTTGTAGTAAATGTTTTATGGCACACATCACACTCGTGTGACTTTTCTGCTGAATGAATTATTTTATGTGTAATTAGAGTATAACTGGTAGTAAACTTTTTATGGCACATATCACATTCATGTACCATCTCTCCTGTATGTATAGCTTTATGTTGATTTAGATGACTCTTTGAAACAAATTTTTTATGACATACATCACACTCTTTTAACTTTTCAGTGGAATGAATTAATTTATGTAGTTTTAGGTAGGACTTTCTAGAAAAAATTTTACGACACACATCACATTCATTGAGCCTCTCTCCTGAATGAATAGCTTCATGTTGATTTAGGTAAGACCTAGTTGCAAATTTTTTATGACATACATCACACTCATGAGACTTTTCTGTTAAATGAATAGCTATGTGTTCCTTTAGGTATGACATTCTAGAAAACCTTTTATGACACACATCACATTCATATAGCTTTTCATCTGAATGAACTGTTTTATGTAGATTTCGGTTACCCCTGGTGGTAAACTTTTTATGACAGACATCACACTCATATAACTTTTGTGCTGAATGAATTGATTTATGCTGATTTAGACTCCTCTTTGAAGCAAAATTTTTGTGACATATATCACACTCATGAGACTTTTCTGTTGAATGAATTTCTATGTGTTCCATCAAGTACGCCTTTCTAGAAAACCTTTTATTACACACATCACATTCATGTAGCCACTCTTCTGAATGAATAGCTTTATGGTGATTTAGGTTAGTCCTTGTTGCAAATTTTTTATGACATACATCACACTCATGTTTCTTTTCTGCTGAATGAATTTCTATGTGTTCCATCAAGTACGCCTTTCTAGAAAACCTTTTATGACACACATCACATTTATGCGGCTTTACTACTGAATGAATTGCTTTATGTTGATTTAGATGAGTCTTTAAAGTAAAATTTTTATGACATACAACACATTCATGTGACATTTCTGGTAAATGAACTGCTTTATGTTTAATAAGGTTGGTCCTGTTAATAAACTTTTTATGACACACATCACATTCATGTAGTCCCTCTCCTGAATGAATAGCTTTATGTTGATTTAGATTCCTTTTTGAAGCAAATTTTTTATCACATACATCACACTTGTGTGACTTTTCCGCTGAATGACTAGCTATATGTTGATTTAGATCACCTCTTGTAGTAAATTTTTTGTAACAGACTCCACATTCTTGTAACCTTTCTCCTATATGAATTGCTTTATGTTGTTTTAGATATGTCCTAGTAGCAAACTTTTTATTACACATATTACACTCATGTGACTTATCCACTGAATGAGTAGCTTTATGTTTATTTAGGTTACTTCTTCTAGTAAACTTTATATGACAAACATCACACTTATGCAGCCTCTGTCCTGAATGAATTGCTTTATGTTGATTTAGATTCCTCTTTGAACCTAACATTTTATTGTTCACATCACACTTTTGTGCTCTCACTATTTTGTGAAATTGTCCATGTTGGTTGAGTTTACTAGTTAAGGGAAACCTTTGATTACACAGATAACACCCACATAGCCTCTCTCCTGAATGAATAGGTTTATGTTGATTTCGTTTACTTCTTGTAGTAAAGCTTTTATGACAAACATTACACTCATATGACCTCACACTTGTGTGTGATTCTTTACATTTTACTAGAAGAGTTTTATGCTTTAAAGATTTTAAGTTTTTCTTCTTACACTGCTTTAATAATTCAACCTGATTTGATGTTTGATTTTCATTGTTGTTTATCTGAATATTCTTAAGCTCTGATAAATCAGTTGATAACTCTGTCTTTATATTAGAAATATTGTCATTAAGAGTTGTCTCTAGTGATAGGCTTAGTCCTGCATTCAAAAACTGAAAATAAATCAAGTCTATCTGGTTTGTTGTCTACATGTGTTGTAAATTCTGATAATAAATTCTGATTTTTGTTTTCACATGTTGACAATACCATTGCTTTTGTATCATCAGTTTCTGTAAACTCCTCTTGTTTTATGTATTCAGATGAAATTATATTGACAATATATGGCTGGTTGTCCACATGTAGTTCTTGCTTGATCTCTAAAACACTTGGTAATACTTCTATATCAGCTTCTCTTTTTTTTCTATCCTTGAGCTCCATAACTAAATAATTAAATTTTTTTTTTTAAATAATATTTCCAGAAATAATCAAGAAACATAAATAAAAATGTTATTTAAAAAACTTGAAAGCTGACTTATGCGGCTATGCATATTCTTTTCACAATAAGCCTAACATAACACCTATGTCAAACACCATTACAATGGAGGCTTTTTGTGTCATAAATATTAAGAGTAGTCACACACTACTAGTTTTTCTCAGTGTTATGACAACTGAAGAGTAAACTATTTATTCCACTGCCTGGCCTCTAGGTTGGTGCTGTGATCTCATCATTCATAACACAAGTGCTTTATTCATAGTTTTCCATTAGGGTCCTATTTTGGATATAATAAAAATGGCTAAATAATTAAAACATGATATTATTTTCTATATTCTATGCACAATTGTTTTTAATACATGATATTCCACTCAGGTATTTTGTTTTGTTTTTAATTTAGAAAAAAAAGTATAACATCAACCAGCTATGATGGACACCTGACTTAAGGTAGGGAAAGTAAAGATGTGTAGACACAAAACAAACCAGACTATTTCTTTATTTGTTGAGCACACATGGATAGATTCAGATGAACTCAATTTCATCTGCATTATTATGTTAAGTCTGAAATCTTATTTTGCTCCAAGTTTTTTATGGATGGCACTTATTGACACAGAACCAAACAACCCCAAATTACTATTACCATATTGTTTCAAAAATAAAAATATAAAGTATGGGCATTATAACTGAGAAGTCTACATATTTAAAAAAAAAAGGAATTTGAGCAAAGGGTCTCTTTATTCTCTATATTTTATATGGGTTCTGAGTAAAATGAAATTAATTTTCTACTTTGATCCATCTATTGCATTTTTTCGTGAGTCTAAACAGCAGTTAGACCTACTTTAGTTTTGCATAGCATTTTTAAAATGAGTAGACCTATCTTATATCTGAAATATGTATAGTCTTACATTTAAAGAGAAGGTTAGGCTAAAAGGCAACATATTAAACAAAATTTATTATTGAATATTAAGAAGTCATAATAATTGTATTGTAATTCAAATTTCAATTGAAACTAGATCTATATGAGGTGACTTTTATTATCTTCAGCTACCTATATTACTTATGCCATGTGTTATTAAAACATAGTGTAGTAGTGTGGTACTACTAAACTACATAGTATGTTTATTAGTAAGCACTGCAAATAGGGATTCTCACTTACAGGACAGTAGCTAGCAGCAGTGTATACATATACTACACTATATATATAAGTACTATGACTAGTCACTTGACTAGAGTTTCTAGTGGCCTAGCACTAGACCTACTAGCAGTGGACTCAGGCACTCCTCCATTTTTAGACTCAGTTGACAGTTGTTTTGTTCAGTGTGTGAGTTTAAGAGTTGCATTGCTTAATTTATTAATTATTAATTTAATTTCAAAATTTGTGTGGCTATGCCTTGCCCCTTGAAAATTGGTCCAGATTCTAGTAGATCTATGTTTGGTAATCTATCATTTAGGTACGTAAAATCGGCCTGTAATAGATTGAGTTAATTGTGAGGTCAAGGGAACTCACTCTCTGTATTAGTATTATATTTATATTGTTATCTTGAGTGATGTCCCTTACATGTTGTTATCTATAAATAGCTCTCTCTCGCCATTTCTCTCTCTCTCTGCATTATGGCGTCTGTACATAATAAAGGCTGTTAACAACCAACGCGGCTTCTCGTCAGTCATTACAATCCACTTCATTTGGCGACGAAGGATAAACATCTACTAGAAAGAGCACCTACTTACGCAAAAAAGAGGTTTGCTAGAGCTTATTAGCTAATTATTTCTAGAATTATGGCGCTGTATGGCCAAATAAAAGAATTTGATGCGAATGATGAAATCATTCAAGATTACCTAGAGAGGTTAAGCTTTTACCTAGAAGCAAACAACGTGACGATAGAAGCCAAAAAGAGAGCTATTTTGTTAACAGTCATAGGGCCTCAACAATTTAGGCTACTAAAAGACTTATGCGCACCAGCTAGTCTAACTACCAAGAGCTTTAACGAGCTGAGCAAATTGCTAACAGACCACCATGCGCCTACCCCATCAAAGTTTTTATGTAGAGCTAGATTTGACAGTAGGACTCGTCAACCAAACGAGTCAATAACAGAATATGTTGCTGCTTTACATCATTTAAGTGAATTTTGTGAATTCGGCGATACGCTGTCTGACAGACTATGTGAAAAGTTTGTGACAGGTGTAAACAGCCCTGATATTCAAAGAAAGTTGCTGCTCGAGTCAGATCTAAAATTGGAAAAAGCAATACAACTTGCAACTTCATACCAGCAGTCATCAGATGCGGCGAAATCTCTAACGCCTTCAGGGATCCATGCAGTAAACAGCAGGTTAGTCGATAAACATCATCCCCATCAGAGCATTCCAACTTATGCTAAACAGCCTGCTCGTTCAAATCCTAGATCTAAATCTAGTAATAATTATCAAAAATGTCATCGATGCAAAGGTCCCCATGCATCTCATCGGTGCAAGTTCAAGTTAGCAACTTGTTATAAGTGCGGTAAGCAAGGTCACATTGCCAAGGCCTGCTTCGCAAAGTCTTCGTCTATTGCTAAATCTAGCCAGTCAAGACAGTACCGCAACCAAAAGCAGCACTATGTTAACTCTCACCAAGACTACCTAACCCAACCAATGAACCACTCTACCTGTGAAAATGCTCAAACTGATTCGCAGCCGGATTTCAACCTATTCTCTGTTAAATCAATAAGTCATGCTCCCATCAATGTACAAGTTAATATCAACGGTAAGAGCATCAGCTTCCAACTTGACACTGGAGCATCTCTAACAGTCATAACAAAGAAAGATTTTGACGCTGTCACAGGAGGATCAGTGCCTCTACAGCCGTGTCACAAGTGTCTAACAACATACACTGGTGACAATGTTCCGGTAATAGGAGAGTGTATGGTTCATGTAAGTTATAATGGTCAAAGTGTTAAACTTCCTCTTCTTGTGGTTGAAGGAAATGGACCGCCATTACTGGGTAGGAACTGGTTAAGTGATCTTAAGTTAAATTGGGAGAGTATTTGTTCATTGAAGAATGTAAAAGAATCTAGTCTTACTTCACTAGATAAAGTTATATCTGAAAATAAATGTGTTTTTGGTAATTCAGGTTTACTAAATGATAGAACAGTGAAGTTAAGCATTAAAGATACAAATCCAAGATACTGCAAAGCTAGAGTTCCACCTTATGCAATGAGGAATAAAATTGAAAATGAGCTAAGTAGATTGGAATCTAATGGCATTATAAAGAAGGTAGACTATTCCGATTGGGCGACACCCATTGTGCCAGTGTTAAAGAAGGATGGTTCTATAAGAATTTGTGGAGATTATAAAACTACACTGAATAAGCAAATAGAGCTAAATAGGTACCCTATACCTAACATTGAGGAAATTTCTTTGAATTTGGCAGGAGGAGACAAATTCACTGAATTAGACTTTAGTCATGCTTACACTCAACTAGAACTGCATCCAGATTCAAAAGTCTATACGACAATAAACACACATAAAGGACTCTACCAATATGAAAGACTATGTTTTGGCATATCATCTAGCCCTGGAATTTTCCAAGCGGTCATGGACAGTATTTTTAAGGATATTCCAAATGTTTGTGTGTACTTTGACAATGTGTACATAACTGGTAAGAATGACACTGAACATCTTAAAACACTTGATAAAGTATTGAAAATTGTTGGTGAAAAAGGTTTAAAGATAAACAAAGATAAATGTCAATTCATGCTGACAGAAATTAGTTTTCTTGGTTATATATTGAGCAAACAAGGCATCAGACCTCAACCTGAGAAAACTAAAGCCATTAAAGAAGCACCCAAACCTGAAAATACCCAACAACTAAGAGCTTTTTTGGGCTTGATAAATTACTATGCAAAGTTCATAGGGAATCTGTCTGGTAGACTATCACCACTGTACAAGCTGCTACAGAAAAATGCAACTTGGCACTGGGGTAAACAACAAGAAGCTGCTTTTAACACAGCAAAAGAGGCTTTGTCTGCTGACACCTTACTAACTCACTATGACCCAGGGAAAAGACTTGTATTGACATGTGATGCTTCACCAGATGGTGTAGGAGCAGTCTTGTCCCACATGGATGAGAAGGGTGACAGACCCATTGCTTTTGCCAGTAGATCTTTGAACCAGGCTGAGAAAAATTATTCTCAGTTAGATAGGGAAGGCTTAGGCATCATTTTTGGTGTTAAGAAATTTCATAAGTTTCTGTTTGGTAGGAAGTTCACCATCTTTACAGATCATAAACCATTGCTAGGTTTATTTGGAGAAAACAAAACCCTACCTGAGCATGCCTCACCAAGAATTCAAAGATGGGCTATCACACTAACTGCATACAATTATGAATTGAAATACAAACCTGGATCTGAGAATAGTGCAGATAGTCTTAGTGGATTACCTTTAGAAAACCAAAGCCTGAGCTATGTACCAGAAGATGTATTTGTTCTCTTCACTATCATGGATAACTCCAATATAAATGTGAATGATATTAAGAGAGAAACACAAAAAGATGAGTGCTTAATAAAAGTATATGAGTACTGTAAGAATGGTTGGCCTGAAGAGTCAGTGAATGAGGACTTAAAGCCATATAAAATAAGAAAAACAGAGTTAAGTCTAGAAGATGGATGTATACTATGGGGGTCAAGAGTAATTATCCCCAAAATGTTACAAAAAGAAGTTTTAAGAACTTTACATGATACTCATCTTGGTTCTTCCAAAATGAAGAGTCTAGCAAGATCATGGTTCTGGTGGCCACATATGGATGCTGATATTGAAAAATATGTAAAACTTTGTTCAAGCTGTGCACAACATTCAAATCAACCAGCTACAGCACCTTTGCAAAACTGGGACTGGCCAATTGAACCATGGAAACGTATACATATAGATTTCGCAGGACCTTTCATGAACAAAATGTTCTTAATTGTTATTGAT